CTTGCCACACAAGTTTACCTGAACTCTTCCATGTGAGGTTTAGGTCTTAAATCATTTATCTTAAACTGCTGGTTGGATTTACAAGTAATCATGTGTACTAAATATGGGATAACTTGCCAGAAGGAAAATCTGCATGGTGAAAGTGGTTTACAGTGAAACTAATTTAGTCTGTTGAATTAACTGCAAAACATGAAATTGGAGAATGGGCTTTATAAATGTGGTATGTCTAAAATTGTCATGTAACTAACTTCAAAAGCACAAAAGAATAGACTAGTTTTGGTGGGGTGTGTACATCTTCCAGAGCTTATCTGTCTTTTCTGCATAAAAAAAATGTTAAAGCACAGAACAGCCTCTGTCCCAGAAGGAGTCAGGCACACAGAGTATAATGACACTCACCTGGAAACCTTTTGAACCAATTCTAGGCAGCAGAGCCAATGTGATCTGGCTTTCCCTTGTTGGGGATGGCTGCCTTAGGCATTCCCGCTGTTTGCCCAGCTGAGGGCAGGACTGTGCTGCTGGCCAGAGTCACTGTAGGACAGCCCCAGGGCAAGGCAAACCCAAGGGAGCCGAGGCTGGGGATAAATAGAGCAGGACAGATAGTTGGAAATGGGTAGCTGTCAGTTGCTTTGATCCATAGTAATTTGGATAGCATTTTTAACACCAATATTTAGTGTTATGCTGGAGAGCTCTTAGGCTGACAGCTGTAAATGAACCAGTAAAAGACCTGCTTGCCACTCACGTTTTCAATTTGAGTTGCAAACTTCACAATGTTGAGGAAACTGTTAAACACCATATCTGGATAACATCTCTAAAGTTTAACAGAGATCCCTGTTGAAGCAGTTCTCAGACACGATGTGATTCTTGCAGTGGGAAAGGAGGATGAGGAACAGCTGAAATACAGCATTGGGCTAAATGTAGATTTGCCCAGAATGTTAGTACTGCCTGTACCAGCACGTGAAGTTGTGTGACCTTTATGCCTTGTAGTCTTCAGTCTCAGTGGTTCTCTTCTGGAAGATACAACTTGTTAAACCTGAGAAGGAAAGTACTGTTGCTTGTCAGATTGCCCTCCATACCCACAATCTGAAGTTGTGCTTGGGGCTCCTGCATTACTGTGGTGCTTCCACAAATTTGTTTAGCATGAACAGAGCTTTATGTGGCACAGCACTGAGATCTGTATAAAGCTGATACTACTAGGCCACTTTCCATGATGGTTCTAGAGTTTCCGCTAGAAGTCTCTGTGAATACCACTACAGTTAAACCAGTATCTTGCAGCCAGGTTAGACTGTAGTCTTAGATGAGATCAAACTTCACGGGCCTGGAATATTTGCAAATATCTGTGAAGTGTCACTGAAGGGGAGAGGAATTGCAGTTTAATAGGTAAATGTAGATTAGGCCTATTTGAGATGATGGATGCTCTGTTGGGTTTGAGTTCTGGGTCATAGTTAGCAGTGACTAGAATAAGGCCCCAAAAAAATGCTTCCTTTGAAGGTAATGAGTACCTCATCTGCATTTGAGAGCTGCTGCTTACTGCAATACACCTAAAAGATTTGGGAAGTCAGTTTTACAACAGAGCTTGCTGGGAATAGGCAGACTTCAGTAGTCTCCAACTTGGACTAAAAAGGAGCACTTGATAGCTGAAGTGCCAGGCATGTAAAGCTTCACACAATGGTGCAATTCCTAGACAAGGCCTTCATAAATCTCCTGTTCACTTCAATGTAGGTGGATAAACTTGATGCTTCTGAAAGCCTAAGAAAAGAAGAGGAACAAGTAGCTGAACCCACTCCAATAGTATTTGGTAGGTTTTAATTGATTACCTGTTGTCACTCTGGTCTGTCTCTGTGGAGGCAGCTTACATGATTACGTTGTATCCAAGAAAACTGGTTTCAACTAGATAGTAATTGAAATGGTTGTCTCTGCTCAATGAACTGTGTAAGTTGTTGAAGTGACATCTCACTCTTACAGTACTTCTACTCTTCACATTAAAGTGTTGCTCCTCTTACTTGGCTCAGATCTCTACTTTAGGAATCATGTTTCAGTATGGTAATAGGACAGGGGATACCAGAGTGTTGCCAATCCCAGGAATAACTTATAGAGCATGAAAATTCCTCTTCTGATTCCTGTCTGAGGAATGTGTCTGCTTTCTGCTCTTCCAAGTAGAAAGGCAGACTGTCTTTTTAGCTCACGCATTTTAAGACATGTACAGCCACCATGGCTGTCTTCAAGTGTGATGCTATTTTAGAAGCCCTTCTGAAGAGGCATTCTGCTAACAAGCACCTAGAAGTGGCTGGTAAGGGAAGGATGTGACTGGTTCACTGTCTGATATAAATGTTAACCTGAATTTAACAGATGCATGAGGCATGTGTGGGCCTAGTGATGAAAACAAATATGTCAAGGTGTATTCAGACCTTTTGCAGCACCCTCCAGACTGTGAGACCTAACAGACCTTACTATTTGCTTGACTTGCTTTATTCTCTAGATTTGACCATGCATGGGTTAAATAGTACCAGTTTGGCTTTCAGTATGGTCTCTTCAAAACAAGATGTGTTTATTATGACCTCAAGATCAGTAGATATTAATCTTCCCCCTGCATCCTGCCTTGCTGTTTGTAGCTTCCTAGCAGCAAGAGCAGATGGCATGGGTGCCTTCTCCATGGCACATGCTGGGGAATAGTGTGACTTGCTGGTGTGTGCTTGCACAGGGGCTGATTTTTAGCTAAAGCTTAATAGTCTTATCACACTGTACAGCTAGCATTAGGGAAAGTTGGGATCTTAAACTAACTTTCTTTTTGTCTCATACTTTCCTAGGCCAGCAGTTGATGTTAACAGCAGGCCCCAGTGCAGTACCTCCCCAGGCAAACTTCCCATATGGATACACAGCACCAGGATTCACCCAGCCACCTGTTTATGGTTTCAATATGTAACTAGCTCTCTGACAGACCTTCACTGTCTCTGTTCTCTTTCTTCCCGTCCCTTTTTAACTTCTCCAAGAAGTGTACAAGGCACAGATGACCTTCTGTTGGCTGAACACACTTGCTGCCCAGCTCAGTGAGGAGACTTCAGCAGGATGCCTGTTACTGTTATTTATTGATTATTGTCCGGTTACATTTCAACCTCTGAAAGGCAGCTTTTGTTAATGACATTGTGAGACTCTTGTCTGAAGTTAAGGCACTATTTCACTTACTCATATAGCAATAACTACTTGAGGCCAGGGGAAGAGAGCATAATTTTCTTTCTTTTGAAAAGCCCATTGAAGGCAGCTGGGAAATTGCCTGGCACCAAGTTGTTAAAGCTTTAGCTGAAGCTACTGAGGTAGCAGGGTTGTTAACAATTCAGTGAAACATCTCTTTAATAATGAATTGTTGAAAGCTTGTGTACATCTGACCACCCCATTTTATTTGCATTCTTATGTGCAAAAGAAAATGGGCTTTTCTAATATTTGTGCTCTGAATGTTTAGAGGAATATTGGGAAAGTTTCCTTTTCTGGACAATAATGCTGTTGGAGTTGAATGCTGTTGGGGTTCAATACTGTTGGAGTCTGTTCTCTATTTTCTGGAGTAGATCTGAGACTTGAAGAAAATAAATCTTCTCATGCTAGAGAGCAAATACTTCCCAGATCCTTTTTGTTTAACAAGAAGAGAGCATGTTACTTATTGACGTTAAATGGTACTAAAACAAACCTCAGCTGTGTGTGGCAAGAGAACATGGGAGTGTGCATGGGCTGCCAAAGCACTGGAGATGCAAGAGCACAGCGTCAGGGTTGGGGACGGGGACGTACTGCTACCATATTGAGGCAGTTGGGAGGGCCATAATCCTGACTTTTTATTTGCACCTTTAACTGATTCTGGCATTGGCTTCCTGCCACACCATGTTCTGACCCTGTCTGGTGGGCAGAGTCAGCACCACCTGAGTGACCAGGGTGCACTGACTCAGTTCTGCTATGCTGCAGTAGGATCAACAGCGTGTCCATCACCCACCTCTTCCTTTGAGAATGCCAACAGGGATATATTATTATTTTGTGCCACTTCAAATACATGTATCATTAACGTTTTATGTACTTAGATAACAATGTATAATTTATGGTTATGAATCTTGTGCTAATCTTGAATATTATAAAAGTTCAATTATAAATGTAAAACTGCAGTATCCACCGTGTGGTTCTAGTCTTACTGTCTTGGGTGTGGGGACTGGCTGGTAGTAACACACTGCCACTCATAGCATCAGGTTTCTTAATCTGACAACTGAGCATGCCAGGCAGGAAAAGGGAGACTTGTGCCAAGGCACGTACCAGGGAAGGCCTAGTAAGTAACTTAAAGGGAGTTGTGGTCTCTTCACCAGACACATCAGCAGACGCTGTCACATGGGGACAGCGTGCTGCAGGAGGCAGTCACATGTTCTCATGCTTTCATTCATGGGGCTGGGAAAGTTTCAGTCCTCTGTGGAGTGAGGTGCTGCAATGAGAGAGTGAGTCTTCTCTGCTGAGATTCATCTGCATAGCAGTGGTTTTTGTAAGCTGTACCCTTTCATACAGTCCCACTTTGAACAGGGCAAAACACCTTTTAATGCAAACCAGTGGAGATTGTCAGGGTTGTGGAATCAGTAACAGCAGACTGCTTTGGCACAATTTTAATTGTGTGTGTTTAATTTTAATTGAGTGTATTGTCTCCTTGGTCACCACACCATGACAGCACTGGCAAGGGATGCAGCCCTCCTTCCTGATAGATGCCAGAATACCCCAAGTGTTGCTGTAATGTGCTAACCTCAACTTTGTACTGATCAGCACTCACAGCTCAGCTTGAAATGCTGAGCAGCTAATGAGTTCAGGCAAATCTCCGCTCTGTCCAGACTTACTCATTGCAGGAATTAGCCAGGTAGCTTGCCATTTTCCAGGAAAATAGTACTTGTATTTTGTAACCAGTTCCTTTTCAGTTGAAATAAATTGGGGTAAGTCAGCTGGAACTGAAGACCAGCTCTAGGATTAATATGACTTTCCAACCTGTCAACTTAAAAATGGGTTCTTACTTTATAGCAGCAAGTGCAAGCCAATGGTGGAACACAGTGAAGTGCTAGATCAAATACTGGAACAGCTCCTGACTAAGAGAATTGAGGTAGCCTGGGGATCCTTAATAGCCTCAGTCTAGAAATCTAATTACAGGAGTGACTGAGCTCTCAAGGAAAGCAAAGCTGCCAGCTCTGATCAACAGTCTTGCTTTAGTTACTCTCTTGGTATTTAAGCTCTTGCTAAGTAAAATGGCTTTTATAAATTTTGTGATCTTGCATTCAAAACAGACTCCCTGCCAATACAGTGCAGCTGTATCTAAAATGTGGAACAAAGCCTTGTATACCAAGGTACTTCACTGCTTCTCTGAAAGTGAAGTCATTCACAGCAGGAAATAACTCCTCTTTTAGGGGTTAGGTGAAGGATTTACTTCATTTCATGAATTTGTGATGTCCAAGTTTTTGAAAACTTGGATAAGCTTGTTTTGCTGAGAATCTGCTTTAAAGCTAAGCTTCTTGCTAATTCCCACCCCAGTGACAGAGGGCTGGTGCTGTCCTGTAGAATGATCTGCTCATGCAGAACTTGCTGCAGCCTGCAGCATCTGGAGACCAACTTCCAGGCTTACGTCAGAGGGTAACTTGCTTGAGACCACATACAGGCTTTTGCTGCCTCGTGCTTTCACTGTGAGAAACAGAGTATGGATCTCCTTCTGTGTAATGGCTCGTGGTATTTGTCAGACCTTAGGGGAATCTTCCCTGGTCTGTCAGACTTTGGGCATATACAGATCTGGCATCAGAAGAGACAAGCAATTCACAAGAGGAGTTCAGGAGGAATGCGTTGCTGGGGTAAGTCCTGTTTCTTATTTCATGTAATGGTGTGGTATTTTACAAGACTTATTTCCCTTCCCCCCTTTTTAGGACTCTATACTTAAATGGTAGGATAGCAGAAGGAAATTATCTGGAGTAACTTAGCTCCTTAAAAAATAAAAATTCTAGGCAGATGAAGTCTGTTGAAGTTTGTGCAAATAATAGGCATGATACAGTAAAGACAGTAGTAACTGCAGGGTCAAAAACCTAATTCTGATTTAATAGTCTTTTAGCAGATGCAGTGCTGAGAGCTGGCACTTCCAGCACAACAAGATCCTTAATTGGGCTGTGGGAAACAAGGAACAACTTTTTTTTTTTTCCCCTTTAGCAAATCTAGCAGCAGTTACTCAAAATCCAAGAAATTTCCTTGATTTATTGAACTCTAAAACTGATAAACAAACCTCAGATGCCTACTCAAATGAGTGTGAGTAACTTTAGTACTTTGGCAAAGCTAACTGTCAACTGCTTGTAATTAATGCTTATGCTTGGATGTGTGATATCCTAATTGGCAGGCTAGGACTTGGCCTCTGAGAAATTCTTAGTGTGACTGAATCAGCATGACAGCTTTTCAATCTGCTGAAAAAAAATGAGGCCAGAACTCTTGCAAATCTTGGGACAGGTACCCACTGTATGTTCCAGGTTCTCATAACAAGCAGTTTATCAAGTGTATGCATTACCTTACGACAGTGTTATTTCTCATCTGTAAAGCTTCTTGCAGTCTTTCTGGGTCCCTTCTGTTCTGCTGTAAACGGTTTGGCTTTGCACTTGGTTCTAAGCTGACGGTATTTCCTTTTTTGCTTTACAGAGTACCCCAAGGCTGCTTCAATCTCATTTGTTTCCACATAAGGACATACAGCTGGAAAATGCTTGACAATACCAGAGTGCTCTGTGACGGTGGTGTGTACTTAGGTTGTGGTTTGCCAAGTGAATGAGCCTTGCTATAGCAACCTGCAGGTGCACCAGTCCAGTTTAATGGATCTGGAGCCATTATTGTGCACCATCTACTTCAGCAGGTGTCCAACCTCCAGAGAGTTTGTCACTAGTCTAGCTTTCTCATTTTTCAATACTGTGCATTTTCTGTGGGCACCTTTCCAAAGGTACAGACAGATCCTGACTCATGTTTTACCAATACAACACTGCAAAATTCTTAGCGTAGGTGTGTGGTTCAGTTTGTCTGGAGCCTTTGCAATCCTTCAAAAAGGCAACAGCATGCATCTGTTTTCTTCCAAGCTAATATAAAATTGACAGGTTTTAAGCTTAAGATGAATTTGAAATACAATCAGTGAAGTCCTGTCTTTTATGTGTCAGAATTTAAAAGTCCTGAGTCAGGTTCTGAGCTTACTCAGTTATGCATTTCCTGCGTGGTTCAATGACTCAAGATTTTTTTTTTGTCTGTTGTTTTTAATCAAGATTGTAAAATTTGTTTGCCTAAAAATCTCCATTTTTCCTTTCCCCCCAGTGGTTATGAAAGGAAGGAATTACAAAGTCTTCTGGTATGTTGTTTTCCACAGTAGTAAGTTCTCCAATATTATGCAGAGCACAAATTCCCCAAGCACTGGTTACCCAGATGGGGAGCTAGGAGTGAGTTTGGGTGGGAAACGGTGCTTAATAAATCTTTGAATTGCTCTCCTTTTGTAAGGTACTTTTTTTTTTTTCCACTTAGGGGGTGGGGAAATGGCCTCATCAACTGCTAATAGAGTTTGTCGACTGGAGTTGCTTTGTTGAGTAATACATCCTGCTGTGAGGGATTCACGACCGTGGCAGGGCAGCAGAATGATAATCAGTACATGCTGTACATGGCTTTACTCTCTTCTGAGATGAGTCAGGCCCACGCAGATGTGAACATAACAGGGACTTCTGTGGTGCTTATGAGAGGCTCAGTCCTGGTAATCTCAGTGAATAATCTTGTGTAGCAACAGGAGCTCTTTCTGCATGTGTGCTCAAGTGGGAATCGTGTTCCTTGTTTGGAATAGCATCATCTTGCTTATAATCACAGTAGCTCCTGCAGCACACACTTCAAAGCTGGGGAAATGTTGACTCAAATCTGCAGTATTTTCATTTCTTGAAGCCAGTTATATGCAGGATCTGTTTTGCATAAAGGAATTGTTTTGTCTCGATAGGGAACCTGAGAGAAAATGAGTTTTTTTATTTTATCATAAGACCACAAGTGATAGGGATTAATAATGCATGGAAAGGTTTGTAGTAGTTGATGAGTTGTAACAATTGTGATAATACATCTGTTAATTCAGTGAAATGAAGAGGTTCTTTGATCCCAGAATATATAATAGGAAATTATGTGCCCCATACTGACCACTCATGGTCTCTGAAACCATGGTGTGCTATCTAATGCCAATTAAATAAAAGTAATAATAAATAATTTTAGGGAGGGGCAAGGGAGGAATAAGTTGGAACTAAGAGTTGTCCTGTAAGCATGTGCTTCTGAGGATCCAGAAAACTCTGTCTGCAATTGCTGCTTGTGTTTGAAAAAATAAATTGTGAAAGTTGCATTCATTTTCAGTAGCTCTTTTCAATTCTCATTGTTAGGGCCTGGAGAGGTGCCATGAGACACACAGGCTGCAGTAGCACCTGACTACGTATTTCACAATTCTTGTGTCTTTGTATGCCAGCAGAAACAAGCACCAGCCACCAGCAAGGGAAATGAGTTCAGATTGTCACAGGGTTGTTTCCATGAAAATTCCTGAAGCAAGAGCAGTAACATGGTGGGTTTGATATTGCTCTTCTATGCTTTGACCATGCATTTCTTTGGAGATGCTCTTGACTATGTGAGCCTGGTCAAGTATTTATTTTCACATAACTAATGGGATTTAAAACATCCTCTTGCAGCCCCTGGTATTTCAGGGATTGTTTATCTTGTTTCACTGTTTCTCCTTCAGGCTTTCTGCTGACAAGTGGTGTTAGCAGCTTCTTGGAGGTCAGGTCCTTGCAGGAGATGGCTTGCAATCTGCATGTGATTAAATATGAATAATCCTTTCCCTGTTCAGCAAGGTAAGCACTGCTGAGAATCCCATTGAGTCTGATTTGAATTAAGCATGTGGTGTGGTATTTTCTTGGACAGGATGAGGTTGTGCACAGGCCTTGGTGATTGGGGAATCTGTAAGAGCCAGTGTTTGTTGTGAAGGTAATCATGGCCTCACAGCACAGGGTGTACGTGTCTGCAGGCAGATGTGAAAGCCACGATGATTTGATGAAAAGGTATGAGGAGTTACAGAGGTTAATCAGAAATCCAAATGCATTTGTTTGTTTGCTGTGTTTGAAAGAATTTATCTTATCTTTACCATTCTAATAATGCTAATCTGGACATGAGCAGCATTTGTGACCAGGACTATGACTGTTTCTTCCTTCCCTTCACATGTTAATTCCTCTCCCTCCTTTACTGCCCTGTCTTAAAGGAGGGGGGCCTTAGACTTGGCATGAGACCACTCTATGCCTATTTTAACTCTGTTGTGAAACCACATACAGTTCTGATCTCACCTGGGGGTGAGTTTTGCAATGCAAGTATGTTTGCTTTTAACCCTGTCAGAATAAAGATGCTTCAGTTTCCCAAAGAGTTCTGCTGGTGGTTCAGCCACGAGGCCAGGGCTGTGTAGCTGCAGAGTGAGCTCTTGGATGGGGCTGGCAGCTGCCAGATTGCTGAGTCTCGTTAAGCAAAAACCATGTCACAAAGCACACAGAGAGCAAGTCTGGACAGGAGCATGTTTTATGCATAGCTGGAGGTGACTCCTTGCACAAAATATTCGTTCTTTTGAGTAATGTGGCTGCTCCAGATGTAAGAGGGAGCACAGTTCTGGAGTACAGCTCCAGTGGTCCCTGGTTTCTGCGAAATCCTGGATGGAAATGAAAACAGTGTTGGTTTCTTTCCCTGCATCCTGTAAATACAGCTTTTGGACATAAACTAAAGGAGTGCATCTTCCTCTGTCTGTAGATAGAGCAAAAAAAAAAAAAAATTCTAGTGCAATCTGTACAGCCCAGTCATTGAGGAGCAATAGATAATACACCCATCTCGCCCCCCCCCCAAAAAAAAAAAAACCAAAACAAACAAAAAAAACCCCAAAAAACAACAACAACAAAAAAAAAACCCCCAAAAAAAAAAAAATACCCCAAAGCACCAACCCACCTCGGCTCAGCCCGGAGTGTCATGCACTCACAGCAGCCTTTTAATTTGAGAATGTTTTTGTTTCTCTTCCGCCTGCGCTGGGCGTTCACATGCGCTTCCTACCCCGGGAGTTCCTGGTCAGAAAGGATTCAAGCCAAGGGCCCGAGATGAGCAAACCCTCCCCCTTCCCTCCCCTCGGACGGTCGTCTCCGCGCAGGAGCGCACTCTTGTGAATCCTCGCTGACCGAGGGCTTTGGGGTGGTTCAGAGCTAGTCCTGGCCTAAGCGTGCCCGGAGGTGCGGATGCTGCTCAGGAGAGGGGGCACTGCTGCCCACGACCCTCCTGCCGGGCCGGCATCTCTCCGTACCCACGCGGAGGCTTTTCCCGTGGATTCCTGAGAGCGGGCTGAGCAGCCCCCATTCCCGGAGCACCGAAGGCCGGGCGGGGTCACGCCGCTGCTCTGCTGCCGTTCAGCCCCTGCCCCGCTCCCCCCAGAGCCGCTCCCCACGTCCCCACGGGCCGCCCCCGCCCCGCCCCACGAGGATGTGACGCCGCCGGGGCCGCCCCTCGCGGGCGCGGCTCTGAAATAGGGCTCGGCCGCCGCCGCCGGGCAGCCGGAGCCGCGGAGCAGCGCGGCCATGCCCGCCCCCGCCGCGCCCCGCAGCCTGGCCGCCGCCGCCCCCGCCGGCAAGGCCAAGCTCACGCATCCCGGCAAGGCCATCCTCGCAGGTAAGGGGCTCCCGGGGCTCTCCTGGGGACGGGGCTCGCCCCGCCGCTGCCAGCGTGGGCATCTGGCTGGGCGGAGGCTGCCGGGCCCGCCCCGGGGCGGTGGCGCTCCCGCAGGTGCTGCTCCATCCCGGGACTGCCGCCTCTCCCGCTGCCCGCGGAAGGCGACCTCGCTGCACCGGGGTTTCCCTTCAGCCACAGCCAAAGAGCTCCCGCAGCTGCATCCCGAGCCTGGACGCTGGCTGCGAGCTCCTGCTATCCGCGGAGACCCCTGGCAGCGTCTTGCCAGGCTGTTTCTGCACCGGTGGTCCAGCCGGGAAGGTGCTGGTGGGCTCGGACATGACGCGCGGCGAGCGGCACTCGGGGGTCCAGCGGTGTTCAGCAGGAGGGAGCGGAACTGATGGGAGAGGCTGGTGGCAGCAAGGGCCCCACATGCTCCCCCGAGGGTGTTGAGGGAAGAAGCAGCAGCAGTCGGTTGTCCCTACCCTAGCTGTGTCCCACAGGCTGCGCTGATACAGCTCCTCCAAAGGCTGCTTGGTCCCTCCTTTGTGCCTGAGCATCAGTGTCTTGGATCAGGGCGTGTTTTCCCGTCCAGTTCTGACCACTTCCATGGGATCAAAAGAGTAACTGCACCGAGTGCAGCAGTAGCTGCAGAGTTAACGCTCTGCCTCCTGCTTGTGGCTGTTTCGAGCTCTGAGCTGAATGGAGTCCAAGACAGTCGCAGGCTTGTTAGACTCCTTTGTAGCTGTTCATTAGCTCCCTGGTTTCTCCTGCCAGTCGCAGGACAATTCCCAGAGTGGAGATTAGCGTCTTTGTTTTGAAATGAGCCATCGCAGCCTCGACATGATTGGCATGTTTAGAGCTTTTGTGTTTTCCAGCCAATTCCCCCTCCTACGATTGTGCCTTTGTTTGTCTGTCCAACTCCCTGCTCCCCTCCAAGGGCAGAGCTCCAGCCTCCAGTAGCGGGACCGGGGAGCAGCGGGGCTGTGCCCGCACGGGGAGCTCTGCCCACCGGCCCTGCCCCCGCCCCGGCCTCCCTCGCAGCGCCGGGAGAACTGTCGGAAGTGGATGCGACCGCTGGAGCGTGCAGAGGGTGCCGAAGCCTCCCAGTGTCACGTCTCCGGGAAGGGACTTTGCCATCACTCGGCTGCCTGGCCAAAGGGCTGGGGCACAAGGAGGAGGCAGCCTCCAACGAGAGGGTGACTTTTCACTCAAGTGAGCCCTTCGGTGAGACCGGGTTCCTCCAGAGCTCTGTGCCCCTCTCTGCTGCCCCATATCAAAATGGGTTGGTTTTTTCATGCCGCTTGACTTAAGGTGTTTTAAATAGGATTTAGTCCAATTTTAGGATGGAAAGGACAGGATGTTTCCTTCTTGTCCACCCTTTCCAGTCTTTCCCAACTTGCTGTCCATGTGCAATGAAAGCCTCAGGTTGTCACTGCCTGGACCAGCGTACCAGGATACTTTCATAGATCTTGTGTAGATCTGTGATCAGGGTCATCAGCTTACCAGAATCAGCCTCCTGCAAGAGAGGTTGCAGCAGACTTGCAGAGGTAGAAGAAGAACCCAATTGAGATGCTGGTCTTCTCCTCACAGGCTGTAATCAGAGTAATTGGTTAATGGGCAGAAGTCCAGCCGAGCCTCTGTGGCATCTAATTGTATTAAAGAACCACAGAAATGGGAGAAAGCTGCTGTTAACTCCCTGTGCTCTGGTCTGCTCAGCCCTCCAGCCCCTTGCCGGGGGATGCAGTGCTGTTTGTGGCTGTCTCTGCTGACTTTAAGGGATTTGCTGATGCTCTCAAGAGTTTCTCATCTGACATCTGTCTGCACAACAGGGATGTGTGCTCCATGTTCTGGTGAGCTGGAGGTGTTAAGATGGAACATTCCTGCTGTGCTTCATCAGCCTGTGCTGGTGGAGTTAAATAAGCCATCATCCCTCCCTGGGTGCATATCTGCTCCCAGACCCTTTGTGTAATTGGGATCCTCTGCCAGGGAGGCACAGCTCCCTCGGCTGTCCAGACCTCAACAGGCTGGGGTTGGCTCTTTTCTGAAGAGATGCAAGTAAAGCTCTGTCTGCCAAGAGCTCTTCTTCAATTTTCGCAACAGACAAAACGCAAGGTTAAAAATTAATTTGCTAATGGGCCCTCCTTTGTCCAAGCAGCTGCTGTGTGCCAAGGCAGCACTTCACCTTGCAGTGACAATGCTGCTGGTGCTGCTGTGGCCACGTGTGGCCTGAGCACATGAAGGCAGCTCGGCCTCTTCTGCTGGATAACAACCTGTTAGCAGGTGGGCCAGGAGCCCAGCCCTGTCTCTGGCCTCCCACAGCCAGCCTTCCTGTTTTGTGCTGTGGTTTCCAAACAGCCCACCAGACTCCTGTCCCTCCCTCCAGCATCCTGAAGGGCTGGGTGCTGCTGGTCTACTGTGCTCCCAATGCAGGGCCATACTTGAAATAAAGGCAGTTAAGTGGTGAGACAGGCATGCTGGTGGCAGTCATCAGTCACCTCTGAGAATCCTGAGAGTGCTCCTTCACTGGGTTTTTGGATGCCACGTTGGCAGCTCGTTTTGGTGCTGTTGGGTCAGCTCAAGTCAGCCTGCAGTGTGGGCTATTTCCAGCCCAGCACAAATGGTCTTTGCCATTTGCAGGCAAAGCCTCCCACCCTTGCCCTCCTCTTGAGAACTTTGCTCGTGATTATCAGTGCTCATTTGATGAAAGGCCCTGCCTGCCCTCGCCAGAGTTAAGTACAGCCTTACTCTGTTTCTAGCCAGCTTTGAAGCCTGGGGTCTGCTCCCTCCCACGGAGAAGCTCCAAGCTGCCTTGCTCTCTGCATGGTATCTCTGCTCACCCGGGGGCCGTTGCACAGTTGCTGTTTCTACCTACACCTAATCCTGCCTGGCCAGGGGGCAGGATGCCTGGATGTTATCCTACACAGTGCTGGATTTGGAAAGAGCTCACGGGGGTTGTGGCTGCTACCCTGGTGTTGAGTACCACTGGCAAATAACAGTGATGTGCACCAGGGTCCTAGGGGGAGCATGGGCTGGGGAGGGGGACTGCAGGGAGAGGGTAGGGCATGAAGCAGGGTTCAGCTAGGGAGCCCAGGCTCCTGAACAAAGCAGTAATTGGAGCTTCACTTTCCTCTTCTTTGTTAATCCTTGATATTATCTTTCTTAG